CACTAGCTGTGAGCTACCAGAGCAGAAAGAGAAGGCCTTGAGGGTGGGCCCCAGAAATAGCACCACAGGAACAGGCCAGCCTGAGGCTGAAGAGCCCTGGAGGCAGCAGGGTCTCTGCCACCTTGCTGTGTTATAATACAGCTGTGGGCCTCTTCCCAATGCCATCCTGGAAAGATCCAGAGAGAAACTTTATCACAAACTGTCTGAGGCTCTAAAAGGTGGTAGACAGCCCTGACTGTGAGAGACTATATGATTTTTGGACAGGCGTGGAGAACAAGCCCCCCAAGGACCAGTGCTACAGTTTGGAGACCACATAGAAACTCTTTTAAAAGAGGGGCTGAGGTGTGACCTAGACTCGGCAGGGACAAGGGGCTTGCATACCTGTGTGCTGGCCCAGTGGCTTTACTAACCAAAAATTCAGAGAAGTAGAGTACCTGAAGAATAGTAGCACCTGACCCAGCATGACTTGTGAGCAGGTAGCTGTCCAGAGTGGAGAATTTGGCCCAGACCTCCTGCAAAACAGCAGCAGACTCAGGACTGAAACATGGGAGCTGAGTGCTTGAGATTTGCTGCAGCCAGCCAGATCCCCTCACAGCCCTGCAAGCCCAACACCCATCTGCAGGATTACAGGCTCAGCAGATTAGCAAATCCAGGCATTGGAGTATCCTGCTGTGTATATTTCTGCAGGGGAGAAAAGAAAGTCTCTGCCATACACTAAGAGCTACACAGAGCCTCGGGACCTGATCTACTAAAGCCAGCAGAGCAGAAAGAATAGAGACAGGTGCAACAAGGTACTATCTTCTTTCCTGCATAGCTTCTTAACATTAATTTCTTCTGGCAGTGCCTGCACAACAGTATACAAGATGTGGCGGGAAAAGTGACTCTCAGTCAGCCAGCTGGAGGGAAGCACCCACCAAAAGATGACCCAACAACAACCAAAACCCAACTGCAACCAGAGAACCCACATAAACAGCATAAAGGGTAGCCCAAGAGCATAAAGCTCAGGAAATCAAAGAGACTGCACCACTGAACCCCAAGTTCTCCTACCACAGAAGGTCATATCATGAGGACAGGGAGTCAAAGCAGATCAATCTAATATGCAGAAACAAACAAGAAAAGTCACCTAAAATGGGGAGACAAAGAAACAATCCCCAATGGAAAGGAAAGGAGGAATCTCCAGAAAGACTGCTAAATGATACTGAGGCAAGCAAACTATCAGACATCGAATTCAAAATAATGGTAATGCTCAATAAGCTCAGTGAAAGCTACAAAGAACTTCAGGAAAGCTACAAGGAAGTCTCTGAGAACTACACCAGAATGAAAAAAGACATAGAACCTATCAATAAGAGACAGGAGGAAATGAAAAATACAATATCTGAAATGAAGAACACAGTAGAAAGAATTAAAAGCAGTTTAAGCAGAGGATTGAATCAGTGAACTGGAGGACAAGGTAGAAAAAAATTCCCAGAGAGAGCAACAAAATGAAAAAAGACTCTTAAAGAATAAAGAGGGACTAAGGGACCTGCAAGACAATGTGAAAAATAGTAATATCCATATAATAGGGATACCAGAAGGAAAAGAAGAAGAGCAAGTGTTAGAAAACCTGTTTGAAAAATTAACAAAAGAAAATTTCCCTAATTTGATGAGAGAAAAAGTCACACAAGCCCAGGAAGCACAGAGGGTCCCAATCAAGATGAACCCAAAGAGGTTCACTTCAAGACACATCATAACTAAAATGCAAAATTCAAAAACAAAGAGAGAATCTTAAAGGGAGAAGCAGATAGTAACATTCAAGGGAGCTTCGATAAAGCTAGAAGTGGATTTCTCAACAGAAACACTACAAACCAGAAGAGATTGGCAAGAAATATTCCAAGTAATAAAAAGCAAAGACCTGCAACCAAGACTACTCTACCCAGCAAGGCTCTCAATTAAAATGGAAGGCCAAATAAGGAGCTTTCCAGACAAAAGAAGGCTAAAAGAATACATCTCCATAATACCACTAAGCTAAAGGGACTGCTTTAATAAAATGAAGAGAGAGAGAGAGAGAGAGAGAGAGAGAGAGAGAGAGAGAGAGAGAGGAATACAGTTACAAAGGGAAAAATGGCCATGAATAAGTATCTACGAATAACAACAAATGTAAATGGATTAAATGCTCCAATCAAAAGACATAGGGTAACTGGATGGATAAGAAAACATGACCACCATATATGCTGTCTACAAGAGACCTACTTCAGAACAGAAGATACACACAGATGAAAGTGAAGGGATAGAAATAAATATCCAAGCAAATGGACATAAAAAAAAGCTGGGGTAGCAATACTTGTACCTGACAAAATAGATTTCAAAACAAAGGCTATAAAAAGAGACAGAGAAGGACACTTCATAATACTTAAGGGAAGAATCCATCAGAAAGATATAACTTTTAAGCATATAAGGATTTGACATAGGAGCACCCAAATATATAAGGGAAATCATGGAGGACTTCAAAAAAATATAGACAGTAACACATTTATAGTATGGGATTTTAACACCCCACTGTCAACAATGGACAGATCTTCCAAACAAAGAACCAACAAGGATATTGTGGCACTGAACAACTCTAGATCAAATGGACTTAAATGATATATTCAGAACCTTTCATCCCAAAGAAGAAAAATATACAGTTTCTTCAAATGCATGTGGAACATTTTCAAAGATGGACCACATGGTAGGACACAAAACAAGCCTCAACAAATTCAAGAAAATTGAAATCATATCAAACATTTTCTTGGATGACAATGGCTTGAAACTAAAAGCTGACCTCAAGGAAAAGACTTAAAACATTCAAATTCATGGAGACTGAATAGTGTGCTATTAAACAATGAATTGGTTAACAATGAGATCAAGGAAGAAATTAAAAAGTTTCTGGAAACAAATGAAAATAAACACACAACAGCACAAAACCTATGGGACATAGCAAAGGGAGTTCTGAGAAAGAAGTTTGTAGCAATATAGGCCTACCTAAAAAAGTGAAAAATTTCAGATATACAACCTACCCTATATCTACAAGACTAGAGAAACAACAACAAACAAAACCTGGAGTGAGCAGAAGGAAGGAAATAAGATCAGAGCAGAACTAAATGATTTAGAGACCAAAAGAACAATTCAAAGGATCATTATCCAGGAGCCGGTTCTTTCAAAAGACTAACAAAGTTGACAAGCCTTTAACCAGACTCATTAAGAAAAAAGGAGAGAGGACCCAAATAAATAAAGTCAGAAATCAAAAAGGAGAAATTACAACCAATATGACAGATACACAAAGGATTGTCAGAAATACTATGTACAACTACATGCCAAGAAATTTGACAACTTGGGTGAAATAGATAAATTTCTAGAAATATATAATCTTCCCAAACAGAATAAAAAAGAAGCAGAAAGCCTGAATAGACTGGTAACAGCTAGTGAAATTGAAGCAGTAATCAAAAAACTCCTGACACACAAAAGCCCTGGACTGGACAGCTTCACAGGAGAATTTTGTCAAACATTTAATGAAGCGCTAACTCCTAACCTTCTCAAACTATGCCCAAAAATTCATGAAGAGAGAAGACTTCTAAACCATCTTTATGATAGGTACATCAAATTAAAAAACTTCTGCACAGCTAAAGAAAACATCAGCAAAATGAAAAGGAAACCAACTATATGGGAAAACATATTTGCCAATGATATTTCAAAGGTTTGATCTCCGAAATACATAAAGAACTCATACAACTCCACTCCTGGAAGACAAACAATCCAATTAAAAATTTGACAGAGGACATGAAGAGACACTTCTCCAAGGAGGACATACAGAGGGCCCAGAGAATATGGAAGGATACTTAACATCACTAGCCATCAGAGAGATGCAAATTAAAACCACAATGAGAAACTACTTCATACCAGTTAGAATGGCCATATTAACAAATCAACAAACAACAAATCTGGCAAGGATGTGGAGAAAAGGGAACCCTAGTGCACTGTTGGTGGGAATGCAGACTGGTGGGGTCATTGTGGGAAACAGTATGGAATTTCCTCAAAAAACTAAAAAATGGATCTGCTTTTTGATACAGTGATTTCACTGATGGAGTTATATCCTAAGAATCCTGAAACACCAACTCAAAAGAACCTATGCACTACAATTTTCATAGTAGCATTATTTACAATAACATGCTGGAAACAGTCTAAGTGCCCATTGAAAATGAGTGGATCCAAAAACTGTAGTACATTTACACAATAGAATACTACACAACAGAAAGAAAGAAGGAACTTCTACCCTTTGTGACAGCATGGACAAAACTGGAGAGTATTATGCTGAGCAAAGCAAGGCAGGTGGCACAAAACAAATACTGTATAATCTTACTTATTAGTGGAACCTAATGAACAAAATGAAACAAATAAACAAACAAAATAGAACCAGAGACACAGAAGTAAGGAACAAACTGTCAGTGACCAGAGGGGAGTGATGAGGGATAATGGGAGAAAGAAGGTGAAGAGTCTAGTCAAGGAACATGTATAAAGGACATGTGGACATGGATAACAGGGTTGGGATTGACTGTGGGGGTGGGGGTGGGCAGGTGGGCAGGGCAGGGGTAGCAATGGGGGAAAATTGGGAAAACTGTAATTGAACAACAATAAAAAAGTAAGATGAAGATTTAAATAAACAAACAAGTAAAAAGTTAACAAACAATACATATGTATAAAAGTTGAACTATAAAAATATCTTTTTACCTTTTCCCTATGGTACTATTGAGTTTGATGTGCATGCTTCTTCCAATACTTTTTCTACATACATTAGTTTGTTTTTCTTTAAACATAGAATAGTATCCTATTATTTGTAATTTTATTTCACTTGCTTGCTCTCTCCTCCAATATAACAGCAAGTCTTAAAGATCCTTCCTCTTTTTTCCAATAACCATACATCTAACTTACTCTTCAAAGGTTATTTCATAAAATGGGTATGTAATAATTTTTTGAATTTTTTCCAGGTTGTCTTCAATTTTTGGTATTATCAATATCTATAAACAACATTCTTTCTCTGGGAACTCTTCCTGTCCTCCTGCTAATGACCACCAGCAAGTAAGTTGTGCTCATTGCTTGCTGCATTAAGAGAGTCCTCATCATGGAGAACCATGGGGAATCAAAGTAAGTAGGGTTCAGAAAGCACTTTGAAAGATTTGGGTTATGGTTATAGGCAGTTATGGGTAAGATTCTAGGAAGCTGTGTTTTGTTTTGTTTGTTTTGCTTTGATCTCACTTCATCACAGTCACAAAGAGACCTAGTCTAACGCTGGTGTTCTGTCAGATTACATCCAACGGAAGAACACCTCTGTCTGGCTGTAGGCTTTAGGCCACTAACACCACCAGGGCCTCGCTGCAAGTGTAAGGCCAGTTCCTGCATGTCAGGGGCTGCTTTTCTCTTTCTCAAAATCAGTCCTACAGAAATATTTATAAAAGTATCAGGATCAAGGAGTATGTATATTTTAAATTTTAAAGACATTCCCAAAAGGCTGTATCAATATATACCTACCAACAAGGGAAGGGTGATGAAAGGAGAGAGGGGAAGCCCCAGTGGGAAATTTCTTCTAATGAGTAACTTTGCTCAGGGATGCATATAGCCATGATGCTTTCATTTATCTCTCTGAAGAGATAGTAAGTAGTGGAAAAAACAGAAAATCTTCATTACCTAGAACCTTAATCAAAGCTTTTTATCTCAGTCTTTGGACTTGGGTCAGTATGTCACTAAAATGCAAACCAAGAGCAAAGGCTCATGATTTTTTCATATCTTTGTTTTTAATTTTCTACAAAATCAAGAAGAAAATATTTTGTTATAAATAATCCTGTAGAAATATATCATTCTATTAGAAATGGAGCCCTTGTCTGCCATTTTTTTTTTCCTGAGGAAACAGACTTGCTGCTTTTACAACTACAGGGTCTGGCAGAAGTAATCCCATTGAGTGTGGTTGGTGGGGTACGTGAATGTCTCACATGAGATGGACAGCAATTTGAACATTTCACCTAAAATGTCATATGGTGTGCTTGAGTGTGATATTGTTATGCTACAGAATTACATGCTTATGATTTTGTAATAAACTATGTTTATGTAATAAAAAAGGGGTGATATTTGTGCTGGACCCTGCACTGTATCTGCCAGTTGATAGTTTGTTATCACTTTCAATTTTTAACTGATTATCTATTGTATTTCTTGCTTAGTATTTGACTTGCTCAGTATTTAATTAGTATTAAACCAAGGAAGTAAGAGGAAAGAGTTGTTTCTGGAAGAGAACAATGAATGGAAAAACAGAGAGCATGAGAATAGCATTGCAGACCAGCATGGAGAGGTATCATAGGCCCATTAAATAGTCCATAAATGGGAATTAAGCAAAATTAATTCCCTACTGCATACATTTTTTTTGGTAGAGAAACTTAACACATTGGCTTGTACTGTATAAAGGATACCTGAATTCCCTCAGCTTTGGGAATTCAAAAGGGGAAAAAAGAAAATATTTTATTAAATATGATCCTTATGCTATCTGGTGTCTTGAAAATGCCATTTTCTATAGGAGTAACAAAATTTTAGTTTGTCTGATAGTCATCCTAACAACACTTTTAACATATAAGCAGAGATTGCTTTGCTTAATTCTATGATGTGCCAACAATTTTTCTTTTCTTTTTTTTTTTAGATAAATTAATAGTCTTCATATCACTACAGTTGTAGCAAAGCAATCACTATACTTAAGGGCTTCTCAATGTTTAAAAATTAATTTTTTTCCGCTCTTAATTATCACCTGTCTCCTCTTCTTTTTACTTGGTCATTTGTTTTAATTCTCCCCATAATGGTAATAAAGACCTCAAAAATAGAGATGAGCTAAGGACTAAGCTTGTTTTATTCTAAATGCATTTCTAAGATAACAGAGTCTCAAGGCCTGTCTTTCTCTGGACTTATCCTACCCATTTGTTTTAGAAAACCTAGAGAAGAAATGTCTTCTTTCTCCATTCAGGGCCTAAATAATTAACTAGTTTTTCACAATTTGTTGGCTTTAAAAATCATAATTTTCAGAGGCAGAAACAAGTCAAAAGATTTTTCTTTTTTTAAACATAGCCTTTTTTATTTTTATTATGTTTTTGAAATAGATCAGGTATTTAATTAGGCTCTGCCTAAGAAATTTGGAACACCAGTTTGTGAGGATAAATCTGATTTGTGAGAACAAACACGGATTGGAGGTAGCCTGGGAACTGTGGGATGGCTTTGATTTTTGGCAGAATTTGCAAGTTCATGGCTTTCTGATCAACCTTGCACTGCTCTGTCATCTAGCTCTCTTTCTCTGTGAAGAGCTCACCCTCTTGGTGCCTGAGTTTGTGCAGATTCTAGAAGCAAACAGTGAGATGTGTGGGGATTTTCACACCACTGATAGCAATTTTGGTGACAATGGCAATGACAAATTTCTGGTGTGTCTTACACAGAGATTCTCAATTGGCAGACAGAGATGTGGTGACAGGCAGTAAGCCACTGATCAATTGCTTCAAGAAAAGCCCCCTCTTGCCTTTGTGGTTCCCAGTGAGGATGATCAGGTGATCTCGGGAGTGATGCTGGCTGCAGTTTTCTCACGTGCTGACTGACAGGTTTCTTGCTGTGGTTCAGCAGCTTTCAAGGCACAGCTTCAGTAGGCTAATGCCTAGGCACTTTGCAAACTTGCACCACATGGGTATCACCATTCTTGTAGCCCCCAACTGGTTTTGTGACAGAAGCATGAACCCTATTCTTTTAATTTCTTTTCAACCTTGAATTTAGCTGCTGAATACTTCCCCTTGTACATGGCCTTGGGGGAATACATAGCCAATGGGGAACATCTGCCAGTTCCTCTGACTCGAACAGGGTTTCAGCAGCAGCAGGTCTGCCCCTTTTTAGATATCTCGGCCTTGAAGTTACCCTTGTTAATCTGCCACCAGCATTAGCCTCTTTGGCTTCAGGTTTCTTCTCCTTAGTATCCCCCTTTTCACCAGCCATTTTGCAAGATGGGAAAGAAAAAGGCTTTTTATAAACTTTTAACTTGAGTTAATTTTTTAAGTTATAGTATATAACATAAAATTTATCATTTTTAACTATTTTAAGTATATAATTTGGTGGCATTAAATGCTAATGAATTAATTTCAGGTAATAGTATGTATATTGCCATGTTGTTTATTTGCTATTTTCTGTTTGTTGTTTCAAAATTCCAGTCAGTTAAGATTCATTATCAGGGAGTTCCGGCCAAGATGGAGGTGTAGGTAGTAACCCTTCTTTTCCTCACACAACCAAAAGGAGGATAACAATCAATCTAAAATCAATAAACAATGAAGTGCCAGAAAATCAAACTGCATGGAACTCCAACAACCAAGGCTTTAAAGAAAAAAATCAACCAGAACAACCAGACCAGGAAAGTGGCAGACTGAGGGCTGGGCTGGCTGATGGCAAAACTGAGACTCAGAGCTGTCTGTGGACTACAGCGGAGGTTGCTGTGGTGGGAGAAACTCCAGTCTCACAAGAGAGTTGTAAAGTGCGCTAGGGACGTGCAGGTGAGCCATACTGTTCCCTTTCTGGAGCCTACCCCACAGGCAGTGCTGTGCCACGCAGCCAGGAGGGTTGCCCTGCCTGGGTGAATACCTAAGGCCTTGCCCCCCTTATAACCTATCAGCTGTGCCAAGACAAAGAAATATGGCCCAAATGAAAGAACAGAGCAAAGTCTCAGAAAGAAAACTAAGCAAGGAGATTGCCAACTTATCTGATGGAGAATTTGAAGTCCTGGTAATCAAAATGCTCACAGATCTGTTTGAGCTTGGTAGAAAAATAAAAAAACAAATGAAAGATACCCAAAATGAAATAAAGCAAAATATTCAGGGAACCAACAGTGACAGAAAGGAAACCAGGTCTCAAAGCAATGATTTGGAACAAAAGGAAAAAATAAACATCCAGTTGGAACAGAATGAAGAAACAAGAATTCAAAAAAAGGCAAGAGAGTCTTACAAACCTCTGGGACAACCTGAAACATTCCACTATCCGAATTATAAGGGTGCCAGATTGAGAAGAACAACAGCAAGAAATTGAAAACTTATTTCAACAAATAATGAAGGAAAAGTTTCCCAATCTGGTGAAGAAAATAGACTTCCAGGAAGCCCAGGAAGACCAGAAAGTCCCAAAGAAGTTGGACCCAAAGAGGAACACACAAAGACATATCATCATTAAGCTACCCAAGATTAAAGACTAGGAGAGAATCTTAAAAGCAGCAAGAGAAAAGGAGAGAGTTATCTACAAAGGAGTGCCCATAGGCTATCAGTTGATTTCTCAAAAAAAAAAAAAAAACCTTCTTGCAGGCAAGAAGAGGCTGGAAAGAAGTATTTGAAGTTATGTAAGGCAAGGACCTATATCCAAGATTGCTCTATCCAGCAAAGCTTTCATTTACAATGGAAGGGCACATAAAGTGCTTTCCAGATAAGGTCAAGTTTAAGGAGTTCATCATCACCAAACCATTATTGTATGAAATGTTGAAGGAACTTATTTAAGAAAAAGAAGATTAAAAAATATGAACAATAAAATGACAACAAACTCACAACTATTAACAAATGAACCTAAAAGATAATAAAAACAAAAGATAAGCCTAAAAGATAGACAAATTAACCTAAAAGATAAGAAAACAAAAACTAAGCAAACAACCAGAACAGGAACAGAATCAGAGAAATGGACATCACATGGAGGGATTTCAGTGTGGAGGGAGAAGGAAGGAATACGGGGCAAAAGGTACAAGGAAGAAGAAGCATAACTGGTAGGCATAAAATAGGTGGGGAGAGATAAAAAAATGGTATAGGAAACAGAGGACTCAAAGAACTTATATGTACAACCCATGGACATGAACTAAGTGGGGAGGGGAATGCTGGAGGGTTGTGGGGGCAGGGCGGAGGAGGGATAAAGGAGGAAAAATGGGGAAAACTGTAATAGCATAATCAGTAAAAAATACTTTAAAAAAATTCATCATCAGTATTATCAGGGCTACAAAAAACAAACAAACAAACAAATAAGCCAAAAAAACCCAAACCTTTGTCCAC